AATTGGTTTTTATTAATGAGTTTAAGTCTTCCGCATTATTTTCTGTTGATGTTACATTGAAATGTTAAGGTTTAGATTGGTTGGTTCGCTCACATAGGAGGGTAAGTGTGGGTGCCAGTCGCGGCCCGGATTTGGGTCGTGACAACTATCCATTGTGAATGTGTAGGATGTGCATTGATTAGACTAGAAGAGCTAGCAAGTATACCTGTCATGTTTGCATTTGCAGAAGTCTCATTCAACTGAGGTCTGTTTAACAATCTCAGAATCTGATTGTATTGTTCCATGGTGAAATGAGGTTGTTGAACATGATGTGGGTGTGGAGTGACTTCATTGTCTCCAGTGTGTTGATTTTGTACATTAGCAGCAGATATTTTCTTCTTCCCTTTGAAATCAGCAGGGTAACCTATGAGTTTATAGCAATTGTCCCTAGTATGACCCCTCATACTGCAGTGACTGCATTGCATTGTCTTAAAACAGGCTTCCTTAGTATGTCCTCTGATATTGCAAATTTCGCAATAAGGAGTAAACCTTCTAGTCCTAGAGCTACTTGCTCTTGCACTACCAATTCCTCCACCAGATCCAAAACCACCATAACCACCAGATCCAGAATTATTTCCTCCATAATATCCATTATAATATCCAGATCCTCCTGTATTACCAACTCCAGAACTACTTCCTGTGTTACCTGTATAACCACCTCCTCTAGGCTTCCCTGTTCCTTCAATTTTGTTGGACAATAAGGCTGTGTGATCATTAGTGTTATTACCAGGTTGTTCACCATACAAAACCTTTTGACTCTCATCCTGAATGATCATAGCATAACATTGGTTCACAGTAGGAACAGGTATCATCATGAGAATTTGGCTACGAGCTTGGCTGTAATTATCATTCAATCCCATGAGAAATTGTAGAAGTCGTTGTCTCAACAGACCATCAGCATAATCCTTCGATGTTGGACATTCACAACAAGGAGGAGGTACAATTGAATCAAATTCATCCCAGAGGTCTTTCAATTTTGAAAAATACACAGCAACAGAGGAAACACCTTGAGTTAAGGTAGCAATTGCTTTGTGAAGATGATATATCCTAGACATGTTGACTTTGTCAAATCGTTCCTTTAAGTCTCTCCATACTACACAAGCATTAGAGCAAAAAAGAATTCCACTTACAAGTTCCTTGCTGACATTGTTGACGATCCATGAAATCACCATTGCGTTACATCGATCCCAATCCTGCTTCTCAGAATCCACTGTAAAAGCCTCTCGTGTGATTGTGCCATCGATAAATTCCAATTTGTTTCTGGTAAGTAAGTTGAGTCACATTGCACGACTCCACAAGGTGTAATTCTCCATGCCTGTTAACTGAATCCCAATCTGTACTGATCCAGCAACATCTGAAGAAGATAAGAACAGAGGATGATTATGATCGTTCCTTCTCGCCATTGAAGCTTTCTTCAGATCTCTGCTTTCTTCTTGATGAATCTCTCAATTCTTCAACAATTGCAAAGAAAGAATCCCCAGATTCAATCAGAAAGCTCTGATACCATATCAAAATATCTATTGAAAAACAGAGAGAATTGGAAACTTTTGCTTATTGCTTGAAAACGTGTTTTGAACTCACATTGCACACATGTATATATACAAGTATTAACTGATTTAATCTCTACTAACTAACTAACAGAATTAAACTAACTAACCACTAATTCTATGACACCTGTACAAATTGCAACTACTTAACAAATCAGCACATCATCAACTTGCTTCCATATGCTCAATACTCTATTACTAGTGAATATATGTGTCTGGAATTCTTCGTAAGGATTGGCTACGTAAGTGCTCTGTGGTAGGTGATTGCACCATAAGTTACTTTCTTCTGGTAGAGGTAAGTTTGACATGTCAATTAACGTAAAGTCTTCTTATTGGTATCTGCTGCAATGGAGAAGTATGTCTTTACAATCCAAGTTCGGTGAAAACGCAGTTTCAATGAGTCATGCTGCAACACACTGGTTTTTGCTGATGTCTGTAAAAGGTGATTACTGAAACTCAGTCACTCCGAATTCTATTGAGATACTTCTCGTCTGGAGTTGATTTCTTGTTTGAAGTGTACATCATCAATTGTATTTGATGTAGTTGTGTTGACTTATTTTTGTTGTTATGAGCAGTTTTCTGAGTTCCGAGTTCTGACCATAGTCACTGCCTATTGCAACGTCTCTTTTGTTTTTCACAGTGGTTGATGATTTGCCTTCAGCTCTTTTGCTTCTTCAGAAAGTTCAAAACCAGGTGCGCAACAATAACAATTCTTTTGTTTGTGTGTGTGTATTCTGAAATTTATGATACTGATTTGATATGTGTATGCACCTTCTTCGGTGAATAAGATATTATCGAGTTTTCTTTAGTTAGTATTTTGGGATTGAAGCGTAGTAGTAGTAGTTGTTGTTTCTTCAGTTACCATTGACTATGATTGAGGTTTTTCAGTTTTGCTGATTAGAACTGACTGCGATGCCCGTGTCTTAAGAAAGTCATGGAGTTGTGCAATTAACGCTCTTTAGTGATAGGCGCGACTTTCTTGGCCTGCAGGAGGGGTCCTATATCGACTTTTTTGCAAGGTAATTGCATGTTAAGCTATCGTCTTACAAGATGCATAGCAGTTATAGTATTTTTATGGTCATTGAATCCGTTTTCTCTGTTTCTACTTAAATTTTTCGTGTTTCTTGGTCGTAGCTTGAGGGTCCTTTGATTTATCGTTGGCCAAACGAGATCCTTTTTGTGTTTTTTTAGTTGCAGCGTGGGGTTCTCTGTTTACTGTTGGCCTAACCATTCCACCACAACTCATGTTTCGATCTGTAATGGAATGTTTTTTCACTTGCTTCTTCCTGAACTGATTTTACTTTAAAAATCCCAGCTTTCCTTTTTGTGTGATAGAATGTAACAGTAGTTTTTATTATACTCATGTAATATTTAATTAATTTTTTTGAAGTTCTAATGGAGCCAAATTCACAAAATAATCATTTTTTTAATGGCATTTTAAAATAATTTTACCCGTGGTCATTCATTTTATTATAATAAATTGAACTTACGTGTAGTAGGGCATAAGTTTTTATTGAAGGCGTGAAATATTATTTATGAGATAGTATGTTATGAAAATATTAATTTATGTCGATCGAAGAAGTTATTTACCTTGAGGAATAAAAATCAAAACGTTGAACTGCCATATTAGCTCCATTGTTGTCCAAAACATAAATGTCGAGTGTCGTTTTGATGCCAAAAACAAATAACGAATAAATATGAGTTATTTCGAATAGTTTTAGAATAATTTGAAACTTTTTTTCCATACAAAATAGTGGTTGAAGTGCAGATGTTGTGCTCCGTTCAGGCCTAATAACAGACCCGAATTTTGCAAAGGCCCAAAATAATGTCCAATTGATTTCTCATGTTTGAAATTATAATCAAATAGAAATCTTTATATTTTTAGCCAAATTATCATTATTTTTATTTTTATTATTATTATTATTATTTTTCACTCGTTTAGTCTTTGATCGTATGTACCTTCTTCGATGTATATTCGTTTATGATAAGTATATAAATATAATGAATACACAAATTTTACAATGATTATTATGGCTAAAAGTATAAAAGTTAAATATTAGAGTCAATTTTTGTTATGGGCTTTGTGTTACTTAAAGAATTTCAATTAATTATATCATTGATCCACATTCATTTTCAAGTCAATATCCACAACCAACACAATATAGAATTTGATACAAGTACTCCACAATTTTAATTTGTAGCTATATATGTTTTAATTTAAAAGCTAAAAAGTAGCTAGCCCATGCTATTACTATTTGTAGAAAAAAAAATTAGATTGTAAAAGCATAAGGATAAAATTAGAGGAAATAACACAAAGCACACAATTATTGGTGCTAATTACATGTTGAAATAACAATTTTTTAAAGATTATATTATTTCGATTTCATATAGCTGGTACAACAAATACTTATATCTCAGATATACACGAGTTAAATTTGGTGTAGTTTGTTCCACATACACTATATTTAAACACGATTCACATGTATCTGGATACACTAACTCTCTTGCCCACCTCTCTCCTCTCTCCCTATATCTATGCATTTCAAAATGTATATATTTATCAATTACCTCTATGAGCGATCATCGCCAAGCAGAAAGAGAGAGTGAGAGAAAGAGAAGAGAGAGATTATGATTTATGTAATTATTTGGAAGTTAAAGTTGATTTATAAGATAAAACTAATTTCATGTGGATTTGTTTTGTTAGCCTTACATTATATTAAACTAGTAAAAATAAAGATATCTTGATTAGTTTAGTGTCTATATATAACTTGAGAGATAAGAGAAAAATTCCTCCCTCAAATTTGAAACTGTAAAATACATAATGATTCTCATCGCGAAAAAATCTAAATTATAACATATAACTTAGTGTGACAAATATGCGAATGTATCGAAATATTATTACACATCTTAAAATATAAATTATGTTATCAAAATAATTAGCATAAAAAAAGTGTTTTATATATCAAAGAATTTTAAGACCACCCCCTCGTGGCCATTTAAAGGGCACATATATACACTCTTGGGTTATAAAAAAAGTGAAAAGAAATTATTGAAAAATAAAATAAAAAGGACAAACATATTTAGTGCTTCCTTGTGAAAAACCACATATGTAACATGGTTTGATCAGTAACATGAAATTATTATCATAATTGATAAAAGATAATTTGGATTCATTTAATTGGATATAACACTTTTTCAATATGACAAATAACAAAATTACAAATAACCAAAGGCACAATAATATTTGACATTTGATTAAATATGATCATACACATATATAATATAATATTCCTTCATCTATAACTAGACAATTACTAAAACATTTTCATGAAGTTACAATTTCCACTATGCATGGACCCATGCATGCAAAAGTTTCTCCAAAACTTATCTACAACATTTTTTTTTCCTTTGAGGTGTGGCCAATTTCATCGATAAGATACATCTCCAAATTTTTTTGAGTTAACTAATTCTAAATTCTAGAAAAAACGATAATTTTATTAGTTTTTAAACACAAATACAAGATTTTATTTGAAGTTAGTAGATTCTGTCGAACCCGTAATTAGAACTCTAGATTAACACATGTATCGAGTAGTCAGTGCTGGAGCTTGAAAAAGAAGTTGATATATTAATTTGAACCTCTTTCATCAGAAAATTATATTCCATATACAAGATTAAAACTCATTTATTTATGCATATATATAGTAAATGTTTAATCTGCTTAACTTCTTTTTTATGTTTTTTCTTATTATATCTTAAATTTTATTAGTGAAAATCATGATCGATCTGTCATTTAATTTATTATCCATCAAAATTAGGAAGATATATACTAAGAACGAATCACTTAGTATTTTGTGTCTCTATTAAAACTAGAGGATTTGTACATCCATCATTTTTTTTGTAGGAATAAAGATGCTCGTAGCTTGACATCATTAGTTCCGTTTCAATACCTATCTTGAAAATTTACATCAAACACTTTATTGACCATGAGACCACGTATAAACCGCGTGGTTCGAAGAACTTATCTACAACATAGGATTCTCAACTCAAAAATCCACCCCTACCCATCCCCAAAACCCTAATTTCCAAGCATTGACATGTTAAGGCAATGTGATTTGTTCCCTCAAAGAAGTCACCATATTTCTCTTGGCTTCTTGGAGATGGAGTTTTGTTAATTCCTTTGCAAATGAATATAGAAAAGGCATAGGGAGACAAGAAGCCGCAAAAGGTGAATTATATGAATGACATGACTACACTCATTTTGGTTCATCCCAATGCTATTGTCTTTAGGGCAATGAGCATATATATGTAAAAAAAGGAAAAACATTATAATTGACCTTTCATAAAAAAAAAATATAGAGAGATTTATAACTTTGAATATAAGGTAGAGATTACTTTTATCGATAAAAATTAGTTAAACTTGAAAAATTTATCAGATAGATCTCTAGATAACAATCATTCTCTCACTCCCGAGTATTGATGACAAGATCAAGAATGACATCATGTTGACTCACACTCTATAAATTTCAAGTATCAAGATATATAGGAAGGGTCGAAAAATCAAAATAGGTAGGTAAATATTCATAAGAAAATTCTCATTTTAGTAGAGGATATATATCAAGTTAAGA